ACATTGTTAAATATAATTTAAATTAAACTTGTAGGAATTGTCATGAGCACTTGCGATATAATAAAATCCACTGCATTCAATATCTTACTATATAAGCATTTTAAAACCACTCAAATTCAGGCCTTCGTCCAGCAGTTAAGACTCTGCGCTTCCACTGCAGGGGGCATGGGTTTGATCCCTGGTCAGGGAACTAAGGTCCCACAAGCTGCGCGTTGTAGCCAAAAAAATAAAACCATTCAAGTTTAGACTTATATACATAGAACTGGGTACCAAAGGCAAATTAAAAGGAAACTGAGCAACAGGGCTGAATTCAATTATAAGTAAAATTTTCTACAATTTTATACTTTATATCAATGCAGATGCAATGATATGGATAATCTACATTACTTATTTGCCCAGTAGACATACTGATGTCAATGATAATTCACATTATCTCGTAGTCATTGGGCAACAGAGAGATAGAAGAAGAAACTATCTACATGTACAAAATAAAAACAAATAATGTGCACTGTATACACAGAGGCACATGACTGTGTGTGGAAACAGAAATATACCATTCTTTTTATTCTTGGTTTGATTTTCATAGAAGTATGTTAAAGGAACAAACTAAGCATTTGTTAGAGCAGAACATCTATAGTCTCAATTTGCTACAAAATGGAAGGATGCAAAGGAGCTTGAAAGGATACATGTGAGTCAGGTCAATGCAAAACTTATTTAAAGAGATTTCTACAGCCTCAGTGCTTTAGGGAGTCCTACTCTAAAAAGACTGGAAAGACACACAAGGGAAGGAGAACCTCTAATACACCTGAAGTTATTATATCTGATGCATCGGAGTCATTAAGAAAAGCAGGCCTAAACGATAGATCATAAAGGGCACATAAAGGCTCATAATTCTTAATAATTTTGTGAATAATAGCCAAACTGGAAGACAATGATAAATTTAGAAGACTAAAAGAAGCTTAAGTAGGGCTTCGCTGGTGGCGCAGTGGTTGAGAGTCCGCCTGCCGATGCAGGGGACACGGGTTCGTGCCCCGGTCTGGGAGGATCCCACATGACGCGGAGCGGCTGGGCCCGTGAGCCATGGCCGCTGAGCCTGCGCGTCCGGAGCCTGTGCTCCGCAACAGGAGAGGCCACAACAGTGAGAGGCCCGCGTACCTCAAAAAAGTGACAATGAATCTCATCTTTTGGGATGGGAATAATGGGTTAGGCAATAATCTAACAAGACTATGTAAGGGATAATCTAACAAGATTATATAACAAATATCTAACAAGCTCATGTGACCTACACTTTACATAAAAAGATAAATATTAAAACAGAACTTATTGGAGACAAAAAAGAATCAATTGCTCTATGTGTGTTTGGGAGTGTGCTTTACATATTTATTTATTGTTGAGCTTTTACAGTGAGCCTATAACGCTATAATATCAAACATGATATTCCTATGTTTGAAATAAAGGAAAAGATATAGTAAAATCCATCATAACTAATCTTGCCAGGTCTAAGTAATAAAGAAATAAACTGGAAATGATATTTTTAAAGTTTTAGAAACAGTATATTAAATGGAAATAAATTTAAGATCTATTGTGAAAGGGATCCTTCCATGACCAGGTGACCATAGCCAAGTTATCTGGCTCATTTTAAGAAATGTCAACAAATCCATGAAATTCATTAAGTCAAACAGTGCACTCTCTTTCTTCTCAAAGCCAACTGGGCGAATAAATTTCCAGAGCCCCCAGAGAAATAACTATAGACAATCCGTACTCTTAGCAGAAAATTATAATGACTCATTATACGGCCAGTTTCTTTCTCCATATTATCAAGAGAGCTAGTACTCCTTACTAAAGAGGCTTTGGCTACCTCCTCCATAATGTGCAGTCTCTCAGAAACATGTGTTGGACTTATTTAAGATATTGGTCAAATGAAGAGGAATTAGTTACCAAGTCAGTTCGAGAGCTCTGGCTTATATTATAAATTTGAAGAGAGCAAAAACTGGATCCTGATGAAAAGCTATGATTTGTTTCAAACATGATTTATACAGCACTACTCTGTTCTGAAAATCCAAAGTCTCCATTTTTACATGAAAAAGTTGGTATTACGTATTTTGAAAAATTGGGGATTTGCTGGTCATTTTAATTTTATATAGGGTTTTACAAGCTCTCTAAGAAAGTAGAGCTTGGGATGTTGGGTGAGTGTATATTCTCCAAACATGAAAGATACAAGGTTATGTGAGAGTATAAACAAAAAAAGATTATATAGGCTATAAATAAATAAAGGTTTACCAGGAAATGATTAGGTTTCAGGCAATTTATTACCTCATATGACTCTTACAATTCTGTTTAAATAGGCATTACCCTCCAATATTACATGTGCAGAAACAGAAGGGAAGACGAGGAAGTGACACTTCCCTGGTGGCACAGTGGTTAAGAATTGCCTGCCAATGCAGAGGATACGGGTTCGAGCCCTGGAGTCCAGGTTCGAGTCCAGGAAGATCCCACACGCTGTGGAGCAGCTAAGCCCGCAAGCCACAACTACTGAGCCTGCGCTCTAGAGCCTGCAAGCCACAACTACGGAGCCCACGTGCCACAACTACTGAAGCCCGCGCACCTAGAGCCTGTGCCCCGCAACAAGAGAAGCCACCGCAATGAGAAGCCTGCACACCGCAACAAAGAGTAGCCCCCGCTTGCCGCAACCAGAGAAAGCCTGGGTGCAGCAATGAAGACCCAACGCAGTCACAAATAAATAAATATATTTTAAAAAAAGAGAGAGAGAGGAAGTGATGCTTAGTGTTACACAGCAAGGAAGCAGCAGAGACACTTTTAAGTCCTGACTTTAAACTGTAGGTCCAGGGATCTCAGAACTACCCCCTCATGCATACTTTTTGTTCAGGGATATCAATTTGGCGATAGGGCCACAGAAAAGCAATACCAACATCTGAGGGCAGGTTAGATTAAAGGATGATGCTGGGAAGGAAAGGGTGCCCCTTCTTAAACTAATGGAGTAACTGAGTCAAGAGGTATAAAATCTAGATCCATTCTAAACAGACAAACAGGCAGTTTCACTGCATTCTTTTCTGAGACTGCAATAACTTTTGTTGCTGCTACAATATTCTGTAAAAAAGTCACTATTGCTGCATGCAAAGGTAATCTGGAAATAAATCTTCCACTTAGATGTCCTTATTGGTTCCTCAATAGGTAGCTCTATGGGGGCAGGCAGTGGTACATACATGTCTTTTGGCTAAAATATTTTACCTCCCACTGTCTAAAGTGACCATGTAGGTATTGCAATAAAAAGACACAGTTATTAGTCTTTTAACTTGTCAGGATATAATATTATTTTTGCAGTTAAAAAAGCTGGAGTATCTTATGTTATACATAGATAGGTCTACCAAGTATTGCTATAAGTTCAGTTTTTCAATTATAAATCAGAAATACAAGTAACTAATATTCTTCCATTCATTCAAAATGTCACAGAAAGATAAAACTATATACTAGGATAATAAGATATATTCCAGTTATTTATGACTTTCTTAAGGATGTAAGGGGAATCCAGTTCCAATCCATGAAAGGTGCAGTCAACACCTTGAATCATACTAAGTAAGTGCGGTGCAGGAGATGCTGCAGAGAGTTCCACCGATTCCTTCTGTAAATAACTGGCTCATGTTTCCCTACGTATCTCTAACAATCAGTGAAACAAACATTAAAGCCTCTAGCAATTTTTTTTAAACAACGAAAGGTAAAATTTGAGTTCTACCTCTGACAAATGAAAAAAATCACAGAGCAAAGCAGGCAGAAATTATGTGTATGCTAAAACATTCCTTGTAGAAACAGTCTGGCTACTAATTACCTAGTGAAAGGCACCCTATGAAGCAGGGAAAGAAGTGCGTTGCTCCACCAGTGAAATTTAAAACAAGGGCTCTAAAAGAAAAGCGGAGAGAAAAACAGAGAGAGAAGAAGAGGGAGAAGAGAAGAGAGGGAAGGAGAGGAAGGAGGGACAAAAGAAGAAAGGGAGGAAGGGAAGGGAAAGAACAGAAGGAGTTGCAGGGAGAGCAGGGAAAATAATCAGAAAATTAGCTGAAGACATATAGGAAAATAAAGATATTGAAAAAAAAATTACCATGATGGGAAATGGCTAAAAGCCAAAAGAAGGTAATACAATTTACACATTCCAAAATGAGACTACCTAAAGAAAGAGATCCTAAAATTTTGCTGCTCTCTCAACACTGGGAAACAATGAAGAAACGAAATAGTCCTGAACATTGGGACAAAGAAACAGGAGAAGGATCTTGTGGCCTATAGGTGGAGTGATTATATCTTCAATATCCCCCCAATATTAGATTTACTGAAAATGAACAAAAGTCTTCCAGACCCATCAAGAACAAGTAAATTTCTTTCTACCCTTTCATGAGATGGAATTTTATGTTTTATAACAAGCATGAAAATGAGTCCTAACACAAACACCAAAGCTACAATTAAAAAATAGATGGCTCGGGCTTCCTTGGTGGTGCAGTGGTTGACAGTCCGCCTGCCAATGCAGGGGACACGGGTTCGTGCCCCGGTCTGGGAAGATCCCACATGCTGCGTAGAGGCTGGGCCCATGAGCCATGGCCGTGAGCCTGCGCGTCCGGAGCCTGTGCTCCGCAACGGGAGAGGCCACAAGAGTGAGAGGCCCGCGTGACGAAAAAAAAAAAAAAAATAGATGGCTCATAAAATACAGGCTCACAGATTTCACTGAAGGACTGCCTGAAGATTAACTAGAGGAGAAGTAGGTAGCTGGTGGATTTCTCAAATTTTTTTTTACTTCTCCAGGGTGCCTTGGCTTCATAACATTACCACATTCACTGCCTTAATCTAACCTTACTAAGCCACAATAGTCTTAAATCCTACTTTTGCTCTAAGCTAATAACGAATTCAGAAAGAAGAATGAGAAACCAAAGTGGATAGCCATGTGTTTGGTACAACTAAGTTCGTAATTAGTTGGAAAAAAAAAGTATCACACTTACTCATACCACTGTTTATTGTGTTTTCGGTAAAGCAACGTATCCAAGGCAACAGCATTGACATCCAGAGCTCCTGGGGAAGGCCACTGGTTGGTGAGGTGGGCAGTTAACTCTTGTCTTGATCTTAAATCATTATTCTTTAGCACAGTCCTGTGAATATTAAGATGGTGAGTGCTTTTGTCTTCACTGTTCTGCATTGGCACAGGAACCTAATGGTATCAACTTAGGCCCCCAAATTCACCTTTTTAAAATGGTATGTTAACAGAATGTGACCAGAACTACAGGAAGGCTAGTTAGGGCTATGACTGTTTCGTCTCCTGCAATATGTGTTTTTCATTCTTTCTCTACTGCTACAATAAATCACTAACTGTGAAATTCAGACTTCCTATCTTTTCCCCAGAGATATTACTAAAGGACTAAGGGACTCAAGATGCATTTTACATCTTAACTAAAAAACAATGGTGATATCTTAGTTACAGGTGATCAGACGCCAGTTAAAATATAAAAGAGAGTAAAGAGTCCACATGTATGATTCTCTAGCTTCAAAATTCACAATCTGTTGAAGTAATTTAACTCAGTAAACAAACAAAAACAATTAAAATGAATAAAAATAAAACTAATACAGAAAAATATAAAATAAAAAATCCATGAGGTTCCTGTAATTGTTTTTGATAAAAGTGACTACTAATAAATCTTCATGAACATAATTATATCAATGACAATTACATTGAACAATATAATCTACTGGAAATATTTCAACCACAGAACGAAGCCATTATAACAACTTATGGTTTACTTCCATTTTTGTAGAGCTGTTACTTGTCAGTAACAAGTTGCAAAAGAACTAGCTTTCTCCCAAGATTTCAATTTCACAAACCAACTGTCACAAGACTAATTCAACATTTGAACTGGTAGTTTGTTTAAAAGCATAATTCTTGTTGGAAAGCTCTTATTCTACCTCTAAAATGCCTTAAAATACCACCTAGGCAACCTGCATTCTCAAACAGGAGTCCATGACTTTAGCGTTCCAAGGTCCTGACCCACCAGCTCAGAAGCAGGAAGTAAAACGTGCCTGCCACTAACTTTCAGAGACCATAGTCTTGTTGTGGGTGGCAGAGGGTCAGCGGTGCGCTAGCAAGACGCTCCTACACTGGAGAAAATCAGCCTGCACAACACCTCTGGCTATTAACCATGATTCTAATGGAATAATCCCATTTTTTAAATGTCTCTAGCAAGCTCCATACAAATATTTCTTATTTTATAGAATATCTGTGTGCATTTATAAATATTTGCTCCACTATGTCCATAAAGAAACATTATCTGATGTCAACACTAGATTCTCTCTTACAATGGAATACTAGAAGTGAAATAGGCAGAAATCAGTGAGAATGTCTCCCGTCAAGGTATTCCTTCAGGCTAGGCCCAAAGATTTCATTTCACTAGAAAAGGAATGAAAAAATTTTAAAAGGCTTTTAAGGTAATTTAACATCGGTTTTTATGAAAACAGTAAAGAGTGATTAGAAATCTTCTAAGATTGACAGAAAAATAGTATAAAGCAGAAATGGGGATTACTGGCCAGAGAATCTATTATAATAAACTACCATTATTTTGGGTTCTCTTACTAGATTTCTCTCTTTCACATATTCCCTCTTTAGGGTTCCCAGTGAATGTCACTGGAGAACTCAATTCCAATGTCATAACTGGCCTACAGGAAATATTCAGAGCAGAACGGAAGAAAGGCAAATGTGCATCTGAGGAAACGCCATTGGTAGAACTCAATGATAAGTAAATGAACGATTTTCCACTTCAGAATATATTCTTTCTGGAAAGCGAAAAGTCTTACAGCATATAAAATGGAAAAAGGAACTGAAGTTTCACAAGAGTTCTTACACACTATTTGCCTGTGGAGAATTTTTGCCTTATGACGAATTAAGGTACTGCCTTTTTCTATGGGAAGCTGCCTGGTCCTCTGAAACAGGAGATAAGAAATCTCAGCGTATTGAATAGGCCTAGTTTTCATCCATGCCACATCTGTGTTCCACCGTTTGTGAGGAATGTGGACACAGTAAATCCTGGCACTTGCCTTGCTACTATGAAAAGTAAAGCCTCCTGGAGGATGCTGTGTAAGGCAGGCCTTTTCTCTCACCACTCCAGTACACTAGGGGGCAGGCAAGTGAATTAAGTTAGGTTGAAAACCCCATCCCTGAATTTTGAATCTTGACCTGAGTCCATTTAGAGTGATAAACAGACGAAGCAGTTTATTTGTTCTAGCAGTGAGGTCCTGACCAAAATGTACCAGCAAAGAGATATTCCTGATGTTCCTACTTCCCAACCCTCTGAAGTAGCTCAGCCTACCTCTCTCCAGGCCTACTTTCCCAGTATCTTATCCATTCCATGAGTTATTGATATCAATCTAATGAATTCCATTTGTGCTTTAAGAGTTGGTTGCGACTGCTTGCAATCAAAGAATCCCATTACTTACCTTAGAACAAGCAAAACGTACCAAGTTAACTTCAAGACCTACTCAACGGTAATCCAACTGATGTTAATATACGAAGAATGAGGAAATTTCTCATTTGGCCAAGCTTAAAAATAGGTTCATCTTAAATTACTCAACAATTATTGTTATTTCATAGTGCAAAATCAGGGGCAATTAAAGGTGAAACTATGTGATAATTAGCATTTAACTAATTAAAACTCTAACCAATGCTAACATTGCTGAGCTAATCTAAAAACTAAATCGTTCCATGAGATAGATACTACTTGTCGCTTATGTCTATAAGTCAATTTAACATTCTCTCATTAAGGTAATAATTCTACAGAAAAATACACTAAGGAGAAATTGTTTAATTTACTAAGAAAGTAGAAATCATATACGTATTCCAGCTAATTTTAAGAACTTTCCTGTAGTATCTACCTCTAAACTGGGAGACAGTCAGCTATTTTCTCTTTAGATTCTCAGTAGGAATTACGTAGGAATTTGGCCACGCACACACACACACACAAATAATTCAATCTTTTCCTCCCCAGCTTTACTGAGGTATAACTGACAATTTAAAATGTATACATTTAAAGTGTACAACTTGATGATTTGATATACAATGTGAAATCATAACCACACTCAAGGTAACTGACACATCCAACACCTCACATAGTTAACCTCTTTTTTTGTGTGATGAAAACACTTATCTACCCTCTCAGAAAACTTCAAGTATACAATATTGTTAACTATAGTCACATTGTTATACATTAGATCTCCAGAATTTATTCATCTTGCATAACTGAAACTTTGTACTCCTGAACCATGTCTCCCCAACTTCCCCTCTCTCCAGGCCCTGGTAACAATCATTCTATTCTGTTTCTCTGAATTTGACTATTTCAGAGTCCACATATAAGTGGGATCGTGCAGTATCCCACTTTCTGCATCTAGTCTGTTTCACTTAGCATAATGTCATCCATGTTGTCATGAATGACAGGATTTCCTTCATTTTTAAGGCTGAATTATCATCCATTGTGCCTCTATGTGTGTATACAGACACAGGGTCTTTATATATATATCACATATTCTTCATCCATTCATCCATGGACACATGGATGCTTAAGTTACCTCTACCTCTTGGCTACTGTTAATAATGCTGAAATTAACATAACAATGCAGACATCTCTTCAAGATTCTGAAATAGAGTAGGACCCTGAGGGGTCCTCCTGGGTACAAAAGGCTTTCTGTGTCCCCAGTTTCTTGTTTGTAGAAAAAGGCTTTGTCTCCTAGGCCTTCCCTGAGTTCCAAAGAAGAGATTCAAGCAGTTGTTAATTAGGGAAGTGAGGGAATGCAGAAACAAAGGAAAAGCAGTTGAGAAACAAGAGCTCAGTGATGAAACAGAGTCTGAATTCCTCCTCGAGGCATATACAAAACAATCTGACACATATCTTTGAGCTGTTCCTTAGGAACTAAGACCCCGCCCCCCCACCCAGGTGGAGGATGGTGACTACAGGCTGGGCACAAGCACGGACCCCAGACTGGTTGGAACAAGAAGGCTGATGATTAAGATTCCTGAAACACCACCCTGTTACCTCACCACTAACCAATCAGGAAAAAGTCAAGTCCCCTGCAACCCTCATCCCAAATGTTGCCTTTAAAAACGTTATGCCCTGGCCAGCTGGTAAGATGGATCTGAGACAAACCTTTGTCTCCCCATCTTTTCAGCACCCTTTTCGATCAATAAACCTTTCTCTGCTCCAAACTCCAACTTTTCAGTTTGTTTGGCCTCACTGTGCGTGGGGCACATGAACTTGGGTTTGACAACAATCCTAACTTCCCTTCCTCTGGATAAATACTCAGAAGTGGGATTGATGGCTCATACTATTAATTTTCTGAGGAAGCTCCATACTGTTTTCCAAAGAGGCTGCACCAATTTACATTCTCACAACGTTGTCCAAGGATTCCCTTTTTTCTACATCCTTGCGAACACTTATCATCTATCGTCTTTCTGCTAATAGAAATTCTCACAGGTGTGAGGTAATATCTCATTGTAATTGTAATTTGCATTTCCCTGATGATTAGCGAAGTTGAACATCTTTCCATGTACCTGTTGGTCATCTGTATGTCTTCTTTGGAGAAATGTCTATTCAAGTCTTTTGCTCATTTTTTAATTGGTTTGTTTGTTTGTTCCTATTGAGTTGTACGAGTTCCTTATATATTTTGGATATTAACTCTGCAAGGGAGCAATGTTTGCCACCCCAAAATACATGTCTTTGGCATAAGAATTAATTTAGAATGATTGTTTTCAAGAAAAAGAAGACTCAGAAGTCTTTATTTTTACCATCCCCTTAGCTACCTAAAGAATTTAGATAATGGGTCTGGTTCCAGGAACAGAGCTATCACCAAAGACACCTTCAAAGAATATGGGCTAGGTGTGGTAAGGGAGAGATCAGAGTCTACTCTGCGTCTCACTATCTTCGCATGGTCAAGCAAACATTTGCTTACCAAACATTTACTTTCTCATCTCCATGTAAATTTCATCCCTCCACTCTGAAGTCCCAAACCACTACTTCCAACATCCTACCCTCTTTTGTCTTTAGCTGAAGATGGTATTTAAGGTGAGGGTTTCAGCCAGAGCACCCTAGCTTCAAAAACTAGATCTTACATTCTT